TTCTCCAATTGGTGTAAATTTCATAACCAAGAGTTTCTTATGAATTTTATCAATTTGGTGTAATAATTTTTGAACCATACCAAGTTGGTCTCATGTTCTTTTATATGATCTGACTAATACCATATAAGTGTGTAAGAAAATAAGAAAATAAAAAAAAAACGAGAGAGGAAGAGGGAGAATGATAGAAATTAAGGGAGAATGACAGATCGACCGAGAAAGAGAATGAGAGAGATTGAGGGAGAACGATAGGTAGAGAGAGAGAAACCATTTTTATTTATTTTCAAATCACATAGTCGTTGAGCAGATAAAGATGATTGTGAGTGAAAGAGTGTGAGGGAGAAAGAAAGAGAGAGAGAGAGAGAGAAACTAAAAACCCTTTTTTTTATTTTTCCAATCACCCAACATTAAAGGGCAATTTCAGTATAAGCTTTTTATTGTGTCCAATATGGATTAAGAGTCCCATGTTGGCAATAGCCACATAACCCTCCAATGACATGGTGAAGGTTTTTATAACTTGAAATGTAGATCCGTTTGTTAGAGTTTTGTTGGTTTGTGGACCAACTTGTAACCAAATTTTAAATGTACAACCGGCTCTTTATATAATTTTCCCTAATTTAAAACTAATCCAAAAGCAATGCTATTTCTTATCTAGATGGTGGGTCAATGATCCAACTTTTCAAAAAAATGCATGATGTCATAATTGAATAATAAATATTTAAGTTTATTTTAATCATATTGTTACTTTTTTTAATTTTCAAATTCTATCTTAACTATGGTATATMTAAAATTCAAGTAACTAATATGAAGAAAATTTTCTCACATGCAACACATGTGCTTAATTACTAGTGACTAAAAATGTATAAAAAACTACCAAAAAATAACGGAGAAATACATTGCAGCCCACTACAGAATTCTGAAATTACAGCCCCCCATAGTCTACTAGTAGCCCCCCTATAAACTGCATCTTGTCTGTGGATTTAACATCAATCCATGGTTAGGATTCATCCCACCTGTACAGTGGGGCTAAGAATTTTGAGGTGGGCTGAATACTCATTCTCCCAAGAAATAAACAAAACCACTTATTTCATATGCATATATGATAGGTGTAGTCGGTTTGGTTTAAAATCGGTTTATGAAGTCAAAACCCACAACCAAACCGATAAATCAAGTTTTACAATGAATAAAACCGAAACCAACCCAACTCATTTATAAATCGACAAACTCGGATTGAGTCGGGCTGGTTTGGTTGGTTTTACCATTTGTTGAACAGCTCTAAATCTAGGAGGTCGAATCATGATCGTTGATGTTTAATTTTTAATCCAACAATTACAACTTAATCAAGTATGATCAAGAAACATAATTTAAATTTTATGGCCATTAACCGTTGAAATAGTTAACTAGTAGTGAACAATCACTTAATTAAATTCATGAATATATAGAAAGCCTCTTCTCAAACACTTAGAAACATTTCAAGATGACTAGGGATGGCAATTTCTACCCTACCCGGTGGGTACCCACCCCTACCCTCCCCGACGGAGTGGCTTTTTTTTGCTTGAATAATGGGTTTTGGGGCGGATATGGGTTTTAGGATTCTATAACCCATATGGTACAGGTAGGGTATGGTATTAGGTTAAACCTGACCCTCCCCGACCCTACAGGGAGGGTTTTGCATTTTTATGTGTGGTTAGGGTTTAGGGATGGCAATTTCCCCCATAAAACCGGGACCCCACCCTGCCCCAAACAGGGTGGGTTTTCCCCGACCCTAAACAAGGACGGGGCGGGGACGGGGAAAATAATTTTTCCCCGAATCGGGTACAAGGCGGGGATGTGTTTTGTATATAATTCTCCGAACCTGCCCYAAACCCAAAGGTAAATTAGTAAAATATCTCTAGGTTTAATACTGATATTTAAAATATCTCTAAGTTTTCCCTAAATTTTTAAAATCATAGGATCCCATAATTTTATTTTTGAGTTACCCTTAAAGTATTATAATTCAATTCTAAAATACCCCCAAATTCCTATATCCTATGTATAAATTGTCCATAAAATAGATAATTTTTAAGTAATTGCCTTGGAGCGGGGAAAATTCAGGAATTCCCCCGTCCCCGATGGGGAATGAATGCCCCACCCCACCACCGGGGACGGGGCAGATACGGGGCAAGGTATCGTGACTTCGGGGTGGGGACGGGGAGGGGGTGCCCTGCCCCGTTGCCATTCCTAATAGGGTTTGGATTCTCAAAATCAAACCCACTATGGGTTTTGGGGCAGGTACAGGTTGGGAGGTAGGTAGGGTCTTGAATTTACTAAACCCTCCCTGAACCCACCCCATTGCCCTCCCTAAAGATGACTTTCCATAATCTATAAAAAGGGTACAAGTCAGGATGTTTTGGCATAATTCATTCACATATACAAAGTCCACTTGCCTCTTTTAATCGAATTATTACTACTTGTAGAACATTTCCTTAAATATTCTTTAAGTTTATTTGTTGCAATTTTTCACTCAATGCTTTATTTTATCTTGGGAACAAATTTACCTGTAATCTAATAGCAAATTTAAATGCGTAAGTGAGATAAACAACATTCTAAAGAATTGTCTTAGATATGCCTTAGCGCTTTGTTTCTATTTTTCTGTAACTGACATGTCCAATAGTCATTAAATGGTTATGTTATCTTAGCGTAAGTTGTTAGGCCAACTTGTCGAGTGATTACATCTAAAGTTGATAATTTACTGTAATTTTTTATTTATTATTTAGACATTCAATATATATCCACTATTTTTCAGCAATTTTTATTAAATTTGTTTTGCATCGGTACCCCTCACTATTTGAATCCCGTCTCCCACTTGACAATTCGTAATTGTAACCCCAATTTCTATATTTCTATCTTATCTTTCTATATGTATGTATGTATAATTTATTAGCAAAGGTAAATTACAAAAAAATTTCCCTTGAGTTTTTTGATAAACTCATCCCTTAGGTTTTGAACCTAATAAAAACCACCCTCGGAAAATGGTGACATGATGCATTTAATTTTTAAAATACCATTTTTGTTCTTAAATTTTTATTTCCAAATTCCACGAATAACAATGAAAGATGGTCAAAACTTTGTGATGCCTACCTCTTCATCAAAAAATGACCAAGCCCACCACTAACATGTTATGATCTTTTGTGCTTTAAAAGCCCAAGAGATTGAAATCTAGCCAAAATCCACTAAAACATCTACAAATTTGTAAGATCCAACAAGTTTTTCAATATTGTTAAAAAATGAGTGAAAATATGTATCTTTTTTCAATTTTTTTTTACAATCCCAGCCAATGCTTTTGTGTGTGTGTGTGTGTGTTTTTTTTTTTTAATTTGGATGCTTAGAAACATCTTTGTGTATGTTGATATGCTATTCTTGTGCAAAAAGTCCCACCTATTTTGCTCCTATATGTAGATCTTTGTGAATATTTGAAAAGAAATCTGAAAGAAATGAAAATTTTAGGTTTTGTCTTGTGATCTACCTCTAAAAATTGATTATGTTGTAGGTCTATGGATGATCTACCATGTCCATAGATCAATGGAAATTTCTTCTAAATAATTGTTTTTTTTTTATTTTTGGAATAATATATAATACATAGATAATTTCTTCAATTTTATGTGATCTAACCCTATAGGTTGAGTATGTTGTAGAGCTAAGACTAACATCAATATATTGAAATTTCACGTGAAAAAATTAATTTGTTTTTAGTAATATTTAAAACAATTAAAAAGAATTTTTAGTAATATTTAAAAATGTTTAAAAAATACAAAATAAAAGGCACTGATATATTTCACATGATAATCTATAATTTGAATGTGAATATAATTGTCGCCTTAAAAATATGAAAACAATTATTATTTGTTTAATTGGATATTTATATTAGGTAATAATTGAAAAAATATTAATTTTTTTTTAAAATTTCATAATAACAATTGAAAATTAGTTTACTAACACATTAACACTTAAAATTGGATAATTTATATAATAATTGAATTTTTATGTGATTCAAGTAAAGTTGTTAACATCATATTGGCATTCAAATGTGAAATTTGTAAATTATAATAGATTTTAAATTTGAAGTTGGAACTTGGAAGATTGGAGCTGAATTAAGTTATTTATTAGATAGTATGTTTTTATACCTATTTGTTGATTATAATATATTTTTTCATAAAACACGTGTTTTTTCATGTATAAATAGTTCATTTAAGTCTTATATTTAGTGATATTGATGTTTATTTATGATTTATTAGAGTATTAATAGCATTTCCTTGTGCTTTCATACCTATCTTTTCATCCGTATTCATGCATATCCAAAGCGTATCCCGATATGTCTCTTATATTTGCCTTTCCGATACACATAGTGTTTTCGATACTTTGAACCTTGGGTCAAGTCCATTTGTAAGTGGGTTAACATTGGACTGGATAGGGTTGGACCAAATCTAGTACAATTGATACTTCTACATTCGTGAACCAATCTGGGGGCCTTTTTGCACTATACATATTTGCATTTGTATCATAAACAAACACACCTTTAGTTGAGGTGATCGTATTACTATTTTTAGATGGAAAAACAAATAGTTCTTAATAAAAGGTCAATTTTTTTTTATAAATATGAAATGTCCATTAAATAAATAGATTGTAGACTATAAAGAGTGTTTTAGTAAAATGCAAACTATAGCATAAGTTTAAATAAATTTGTAAAAGCAAGAAGGATGTTCCTAATTTATCTTTTCATAGGTTGAATTCTATGTGATCATAAGAGTAACCGGCTAAAGTAAACTCTCCTCGTTTAGGCTCAGCTCAGCTCAGCTCATATTGCAAGTTGCAAATTTGCAACAAAACACGAACTTGTCCTATTGGCCTGATCGATTACCTCCGACTCCTCCGATTTCAATTCTCGAAACTAATCATAGTTACTTTTTAACTCTACCATGGTTTGAGTAAGGGTTTTTATTTTGGGACTGTACGATAGACATAGGGTGCTCTCTCTCCTCCTCCTCCTCCCCTTTCTCTCTCCCTCTCTCCTGCCGTTTACTGGTAGACCTCTTTTTCCTGTCGAACGCCCACACTCTATAAGGTTGTTGGCGGGCTGGAACCGAAAGTAATCTTGTCTATGTGTTGCGGGTATTATTCTCTGTTACTTCATTGCCGGGAAATTTATGGCAATACAAAACGTTTCAAGCATTTTGAATCTCGGTGGAGAAACTGGTTTGTATATTCTTCGAATTCCTAACTGACAGAGGTTTTCATTTTATTTGTAGTTTTCTGTATTGTGGGTCTGGCCCGGTAAATCGACTTGACAGCTCGTGAGATCTGAAACTTAATAAACCCGAATTGGCCATGATAAGGGATAAATGGAGAAACATGGGGGGTCATGCTGGTTTCTTTTAATTTCTATGTTGTTGTTGAATATGTTGAGCGTGGGATCTGGGTCTGGTGTTGTAGGTGATTGGTAGATTTCTCGGGGGTGGTTTTCTAGAAAAATTTCATTTTGAGCATCGGGTTTTGGTTGGTGCAGCTTTTAAATTTTAAGGTTTGTGTTATTCTTGTTGGTTTTCCTTTTCTCTTTTCGGGCTGGGGCACTGGGGAGGTGGCTGTTGGGGATGGGAGTAGAGACTGGACTAGGACTGGGTGGTGGGTTTTGGAACGATGAGGATAAGGCCACGATTGTGGCAGTTCTGGGTTCTCGGGCGTTCGACTATTTGACGACGAGCACTGTGTCTTCCGAGGGTCTGATGACGGCTGTTGGTAATGACGCGGATTTGCAAAACAAGCTTTCGGAACTCGTCGACGGCCCAAATGCTTCAAATTTTACCTGGAATTACGCAATATTTTGGCAGATTTCCAGTTCGAAGACTGGGGAGTTGGTTTTGGGTTGGGGAGATGGATATTGCCGAGAGCCCAAGGAAGGTGAAGAGTCCGAAGTTACCCATGATCTCAGCCTCCGGGTTGATGACGAAACTCAGCAGAAGATGAGGAAGAGGGTTCTGCAGAAACTTCAAACTGTCTTCGGTGGTCCCGATGAGGAAAGCTATGCATTCGGCTTGGACAGGGTTACAGACACGGAGATGTTCTTCCTTGCTTCTATGTATTTCTTCTTTCCTCAGGGTGAAGGGGCCCCTGGTAAGGCGTTTGGATCAGGGAAGCACCTGTGGATCTCGGATGCTCTGAAATCACCTTTTGATTACTGCGTCCGGTCGTTCCTTGCGAGGGCTGCTGGGATCCAGACTATCGTTCTTGTCCCCACGGATACTGGGGTGGCCGAATTGGGTTCAGTGAGATCCATTCCCGAGAATTTGGAGGTATTGCAAACGATAAAGTTCATGTTCTCAACGTCTGCATCCTTACCTTTCCAGGTCAAACCGCTAGCAGCCGCACCAGTATTGAACGAGAAGAAAGATAATGGTGTCATTGCATCGGGCTTTGGTTCGGGGGCACGAACAGATGAATTCCCAAAGATTTTTGGTCAGGATCTGAACCCAAGTCGCTCTCAGCTCAGTGAAAAGCCTATTGTTGCGAAGGTGGAGGAGAGGCCCTGGGAAGCCTACGCAAATGGGAATGGACTTCCATTTCAAAACAGCCGGAAGGGTCTTCATGCTGTTGGGTCTTCATGGTTTCATGGTGTAAAACAAGGGGCAACTGCCGAAGTTATCAGTTCTCAAAATACAGGAAACAATCAACAAAAGCTTGGCAACACAGCTTTGATGATTAGTAATGATGTTGATCCTGCCCATCGATCATTGGGCCACTGTAATGGGGTAAGGGAGGACTCTCGGTTGTGCCAATTTCAGGCTCAGAAGCAGGCACCAAGACAGATTGATTTCTCAGGGGCAACTTCAAGGACCTCAGTGATTGCTCGGCAAAGTACCATAGAATCAGAGCACTCAGATGTTGAGGCATCATGCAAGGAAGACCGTTTGGGCCCAGTAGATGAGAAAAGACCCAGGAAAAGGGGCAGGAAACCTGCAAATGGAAGAGAAGAGCCCCTTAACCATGTTGAGGCTGAGCGGCAGCGTCGAGAGAAGCTTAACCAACGATTCTATGCATTAAGAGCCGTTGTGCCCAACATCTCCAAGATGGACAAGGCTTCCTTGCTAGGAGATGCCATAACCTACATCACTGAACTCCAGAAGAAGCTCAAGGACTTGGAATCAGAGAAAGAGAAGTTTGGAAACCAGTCTAGAGACACTGTGGCTTCAGAAGCAAATTCTTCTGGACAAAATAGTAAGAGAGGTCTGGACATTGATATTCAATCCCTYCATGATGAGGTTATTGTAAGGGCAAGCTGCCCTTTGGATATTCATCCTGTATCAAGAGTTATCAATGCATTCAAAGAGGCAGAGATCACTGTGGTCGAATCAAAGATCTCTGCAGGCAATGATACCGTTTTCCACACATTCGTGGTCAACTCTCAAGGATCTGAGCAGCTTACGAAGGACAAGTTGGTAACTGCATTTTCTCGTGAACCCAGCACCTTATAGCCATTTCCACGAGTTGGGTAGTATTGGATCCAACCCCACATAGTTCTTAGACTAAGTTTTGGAATGGAGAGTCCATTTGAATTTTGAAAGCTTTATGGAGGTTTTGTCATACAAGGGGGGGGGGGTCTATGTAAACTGAGGTGCTAATCAGTAGAACATTACTACCTAGATTGACTGACTAGTGCAACAGTGTCTTTGGGTTTATAAGTATGGGTCTTTTGCCAACTCAGAGCAATCCTTGCAAGTCAATAAATCAGTAAGTTTACAAACTTTTGAACATCTTTACTTGGTTCTTGGTTTGAATATATCTAGTTCATTGCACTCTATTAATATTTCTAACTTCTGTGTTTCCCAGGTGCTTCATTTCAACTGATAGCAGTTTCAAACTTCACTAGTATGGAATTCCAAAGTCAAGGAAGGTTTGGAAAATTTATGGATTTTATTAATTCAATCTTTCATTGAAGCTCTTTGGATTCTTGGAAATGTCATAACCACAGAAGCATCTGGAGCTGTAGTGGTACTCTTGGATTTTCTAAGACATTTGTTCTCCTGTGGTGAGCGTCAGAAAGTTATAACATAATTTTGTAAATCTGTTGAGAAAGTATAGATGGATTGTACATAAATATGTGATGAATCTACTAATGCTCCAATGGATTTTTTATAACTCCAAATGATTCTTTGTTAAGGCCCCTTGTCACTCCTTTCAGACTCTAATTCTCTAAGATTTTCCTATTCTTAAAATAACTTTGTCATTTTCTTTTGCTTGCTTTATGTTGATAGTCCAGTCCCCTGCATTTTCTGCTCACTATAATTTAACCCAGAAATCTGAAAATTGTATCATTGTTAAACCTTACTGTATTTTTTTCATATATGTGTTATTTAATCTATTGAAACCTGACCCTAGAATTTCCATTTCAAGGATCAATTGCAATGAAAGAGAGCAAAAATTCAGAAAGGGGGAGGGGACACATAATTGATTGGTAAAGGAAAGAAAATAAAGGCTCTTTACTACTTTTTAAGCAAATGGTTAATCCACACAATTTCTGTGTGGATTCCTTAAGATGATCTCTGCCAATATATATATGCTTTCTTAGTCATAATGGATTCCTCTAATTTTTTGTTATTTGTAGGGAAAATATGGGCATATCTAAAATTGAGCTTGCAATTGGGGAATGTGGATCAAAATCTTTGTAAAAATTTTCCTTTGAAGTGAACTTATGCAGTGGTGCCCACTAGGTCCTCATTGTATTTAACCTATGGCTAGCTATTTATAAATTGACTTTAGACTTCCAATGGACTTTCCTACCGATTTTTGTTATTGTCAAGGAAACCTCCATAAAAGTAAAGGTTTTTTTTTCTGGTTATTTTCCTTTGAATTTTACTTTTGTACAAGGTACATTTCTCTTTTATTTTTCTTTTTGTAATTATTTAATTAATCATTTATCCATTTGTGTTTCCAGCATCATGATTTTAGAAAGGTATGTTTCTTATCTTATCATAATAATAGGGAGAAAGAATATAAAGAAACGTTTTTTTATTGATAAAATGTTAAAGTACTAAAAATGAGGTTAATGCTAGATTTAGGATTTAATAGGCATAACTCTAAAAATAAGGAAAGTTAGTTCAGAGAGTTTTCTGCACAAACTTGGCTTGGGAAAATGAAATTGTGCCTTTTGAGTTTTCCCTTATTTATATTTATAGACATTTCTCTACATTTTGTATGTGTAATGGGATTATTCAACATTGACTCCCAGATTGAATAAATCATTTTTTTCTTGTATAAGATTTTTCAACATGGTTCTCTGATTGGTACTCATCATTTTGTCCTTGGATGATAATTCAATTCATGTCATTATCATTTTCATTTATTGGGTTGTAAGCCATACTTGATGGCCGCTGGAGCCCTTTTCTCAAAGAATTTATTTTTCTTGCATTGTAGGTGATTGTTAACATTTCATTTTGTATCAATTAGTATTGCTATGTATTTTTTATCACTAGCATATTATTTTATTAGTATTGAGAGATGAATAACCTGCATCACTTGTAGTGTTATTGCTGTAGCAAATGTTGGTTTTGTGCCCAAAAAAGTACACACATATTGAGCTTTCTTTGTTTGTTTCCTTTCTTTTTACTAGCTTATGTCAACCAATTATTCGATTATTCAAACAATATACATGCCAGACATCTTCATTTTAAGCACAATGGTTATAAATTTCAACTGATTTAACGAAACTGATGCAGAAGTTACAGGATAGTAATTTTTCCCTTCTCTGCTTTTGAAACTGTGACAAAAAGATCAGTAAACCCCACTCACTGGCATAGGAACTAATGGTTGTACATTCAGCAATTTGCCTATTTTAGGTACAGCCTTTATGGCTTGTTAAAGCCAGTTAATCACCCCCACCCAAAAGAGAAAAAAATGCCCGCAGTCACATTTTTTTGGGTGTTTTCTTMTTGGTTTCATTTTTTTAACGTTTTTTTACTATCATTTAGAAGGTAGACATTTTAGTTTGTAGCATAGAGGTGCATTACGGTCCATGTCTCAGTTCTGTTCTTCATTTGAAAATGATCAAGTTTATGTTAAAAAACATGCTGTGGCTCCATGTTGGACGCTGGAACTCCAATATAATAGTCCAACATCTGGCTGCATTTGGTGAATCCCTGTTGTTTTAGCTGCATCTGCTGCAATCCTAATTTAACCATGGTCCTAGTTTCTATGGGATGGCAGGTGGATCCTCGGGTAAATTTATCTGAGCCAAAGAAACATCTTGGCCTGTTTGTTGCACGAAATTGTGGCCTTAGAAGGAATCGAGATTTACTGAAGTGAATTGGCTTGTGCGTGAGTAAAATAACATATTTTCTATGGATTTCTTGGCTAATTGTTGCCGTGCCTGTTATTAAAGGTAGGATTTTCTTTTTCTTTATTTCTTGCTTCTACTTTAATTAGTGGGCATACTTCCAAAAACAGTAACAATACATTCAAAAACGGTAAAGAAAATGTAATTGATCGTTTACATGGAAAAAACCCAAATGCTATTATCTTTTCTCAGTGTCTTTGAAGCTTGCTGGGGCTTCTATTTATGTAATGACAGCTGAACCGTGGAAAGTCAACTGAAGCTTGCTGGGTTATACATGCTCCTCTCCAAATGCAATGTTTCCAATATGGTTCAGACTTGTTGAATCCAATCAGTGAACTGTCGATTGACTTGATTGTAGACATTTTTGTCAAGACATTGACATTCAGATGTTCCTGTAACTCAACCCTTTTTGTTGGACTGAGATTGACATATGACTATTGGGTATCGTAGATCTATAAGATGCATTTACATGTGTTTTGTATGAGCCACGTTTAGCCTAATTTGATTGATAAATAAATCCACTTTGTTTGAACTTTGAATCACTGCCTTGCTTTTCTTTGTTTGACATGTTTGGTGGGGCTCGCCAGCCATAACCCTAATATATGAGATGGGTCGGTTGGGTTGAGCTCATTTCCGGCGGATCAAGTGGACTTCGATGTTGGATATGGTCGCAGAGTTTAATCCTCAATCGTCGTATTATTGGATTTAAAAGCTGGATTAAAAATGTTCTCATGTGTCAATTGACTTATGATTTTTGGCGAACATTAAGATTTTGATTGTTTAGTCTGTGTAGAATTAGAATTAGGATTAGGTTTTTTATGGATATACGATTTAGGCCGTTTATTTTTCTAGGTTGCCCGAAAATCATCTTTTGAAGCTCATATACATGTTTCAACTAAAGAAGGTATCCCTTAGGCAGCAAGAGAGGGCTTTACGTATAACCTCTAAATAAAGCAGATTGAAAATGAATCAAAACATATATTAAGTTATGGCTTCAGGTATGCGTTTTTTTTTCAATTGCTTTTTGCTTAGACTTGTTGATTATGGCTTATAAAGTGTTGGAAGAATAATCATTTGCACCAGTGTAAATGCAAGGGAGTGCAAATAGGTTGAGTGTAAATTCTGATTTACTTTTGCTTTAGGTTTTACTGTTTTTGATGTTTGTTGTGAGAAGTAAAATTAAATGGTCCCCACTTTATATGAAAGAGAATGGAGCTAGGAGGGTTATTTGTTTAGGAGTATGGTAGGAATCCAATCGATATGGTCTCCACTTTATAGGAGAGAATTGACGGAGGAGGAAAGTGGTGTAAAATTTCATCTCAAAAACTGGTGCAAAATTGTGCACTGTCAACGAGTGCAAATGAGACAACGTACAAATGTTTGATCGGGCAAGAGTGCAAACCATGGTTACAAAACAAATGGATGCAAAATTTGTATTTAGTTCAGATTTAAACTGCAGAAAATAGAGCCTAAAGCTCAGTTTGGACTTGGGAAAGAGTACAAATGTAAATATATACAATGCAAAACCTTGTATTTTGTATGTATTTGTACTGTATATATTTATATTTATATTTGTATTTTTTTCCAAAAATTGTTTTAAAACATGATTTGCTCCCACTCAGTAGATTAAGCTTGTTGTTTTGGCTTTGTTTGTTGGCAATGTAAATCTAAATTAAATAAAATTTTGCACTTGATTCAGTTGTGTTAATTTTGCATCCATTTTTTTGTCTCATTTGTACTGATTGGCAATGGAAATTTTGCATCTAAAAACTGGTACAAAGTTTACATCACCTTTGTCCTACTCAATTCTCCTTCCTCACTCCCAAACAAATAACCTTACCACCATTCTCTTCCATATAAGGTGAGGACCACATAATTTTACTTCTCACAAACAAATAAAAACAGTTAGACCTAAATCAAAAGTAAACCAGAATGAATATACACTCAACTTATTTACACTTATATTTACAGCAATGGAAATGAAATTTACACGGCATCCAAGTTGAGTCTTAGTTGCAAGTAAATTTGCTCCCAAGATATAACAAAAATGAAAAACTACAATTAACAAACTTAAAAGCTGTCTGGACAAACATTCCACAAGAAGACAGCAATTCAAGTTGAAAAAGACACGACTTTTTATTGTCTTTTAACTTAACTATTTTAGCTGTTTCTTTTTGATAGTAAAGTAAATTAAATGATAACGCTTTATTGCATCTGGGCGATTACTGTAGATGATTAATGATTGAAAGTAGTAACATGTACATCAATCAAAATTAAAGTCTCTAGTTTTTGGTAACTGGTAAGTTATTTCTAGTGTTTGGTTTGAAGGAAAGAGTAGGGAAAGGAAGGAAAAGTTTGAGAAAGTCTTTACAAACTTTGTATAAATTTCCTTACCTTTTCCTTCAAACCAAACATAGCCTTATGGTTTTTAATTCTACCGCTGTCATGCTGACAAGATTTTGTTTTGTTTCAAAAATGAGCTTACCACATTGCTTCTCTTCTCTTTAAAAGCATGAAACAGAAAAAAGAAAGAATAATTTGTCCTTGTGAAGAGGGGAGAGACTCTTTTTGGCACGTGCCCGTAGAATTAATCTGGTAAGTCACGTGGTGGCTTTTGAAGCTGTCTGTTTAACCCACTACAAAAGAAGGGGGCTTAGCTTAGCAGCACCTATGCTATGGGCTCTAGTCCGGGTCCACGCCTGAAATATTTATTTCATTATTTGTACAAATTATAATATTAATATAAAATAAGACTTGGTAGTTGGTGTTATATAAAAATAAATGTACTAAGAACCGGGCTAGAAATCATAATAAAAGGATTATTATTTTTGCGAGTATACGCACAATGCACCGACAAGATCTATAATACATAATGTAATGTTGATATATATTTAAGTTGAGCTGACGTTAATTCCATCGCCCCAAGCCAAAGTTATATTTATTTTSCTCTCCCGGCCTCCTTCCCCTTCCTCCTCTACTCATCTCTCTTCACATTTACAGTGGCGTATAAGAATTTGTTTGGAGACATGAATAAAGTAAGTTTATTTAATTAATAAAAAAAAAAAAGGAGAAAGGATTAGGAGACATGGCCGTTGGCAAATATTAAAAGGTGCAGAAGGTGTGATGTGACGATGATGCGTACGTGGTGTTTGTTTAACTGTTTTTTAGCTTGGTTGGCAAAGTTGTTGCATGATACGTGGCAAGTGAGTTGGGGACATAGAATGGTTTTCTTGTGTCTCTTTATGCTTTGTAACAGGACAGCCATTCATGGTTTGGCAAAACCAAAACCTTTCCTTTCCTTTCCTTCTTGTGTGTAGTGTGTGTATTGAAAGAGAGAGAGAGAGAAAGAAATCCTTTACTTTTTAGATGTGTACCGTGGCCTTTTGGTTTGTTAGTTGTTACATTGACCTCTTATGCCTGCGCGGCAAGGTGTATACAATTATATATATATATATATATATATTAGTGTAAGAATGTATACTATGTAATATGCATGTGTGCAAAAAAGTATTTCCTATATAATAATGGATTTAACTTTTAGGTCTTATTGGTTTACAATTTTGTTGTTTCCTAGGTAAATTCACTTACCCAATAGGTGTAATTCAATTGGTATGTTAGCTGATTCATTTTAGTAGAGATAGGGATTCAAACCCTGCTACCACCAAATTTGGAGAGGAGGGGGTTACAATTGTGGTGTTGTGCTAATCAATGGCCTGTATGGGGATTTGGGCATATCACCAAATACTAAATATAAACATTTGTGCTATGTTTTATTACAACATATGAACATTTGTTCTAATTATTAAGGGGGTGTTTTTTTTTTTCGGATTTTGGGAGGGGAGAAATTTGGTCAATGGGATTTTGGTTCTCATTGACTAAGAATTTCACGTTCTATTTTTAAATTTATGTGGGAATTAGAGAAAATTTATTTCTTGGGTAAGTGATACCTATCTCTTATGTGGATAAATAACTTTCCCACCTGTTGGAGAAATTGTCAACACTTGAATAGAACAAAAATATCCTTTTTAATAATAGATTTTTATGGTTAAAATGGACATTACCTTATTTACCTATAAAACAAAAAAACATGAATAAATACACCTACCCACCAACTTACCAAAGAAGCGAAGGCCTAAAATGCATGCAATACCTTACCAACTGAACTCAAGTTCATCCAAAACCCCATTTAACCTTAATAAGATTATTCCCACCCTTTGATTTCATGCAAAATTAATGAATTAATAAATTTTTTAGTGTAAACATTGACTACGTACTATTTATTTAAACGATATGGATTATTTAAGGTGACAACTGACATAGCAGCAGCATTTGTTTTAGAAAACGTACAAAACCATTCACATCAGCCAACGCCCCCCCGGTTTGATAATTAAAAGTGGGAAGATTAGACTAATTCATGATTCAATCAAGGAGTCTCAATCACGTCATGTAATTTAAAAGGAATCTTAGGTAGAGGCAATAGCTGCCTTATTTTATTATCAGGTGATGTTGACCATTAACAACTGACACAATTTGGATTTAGATTAACACATAATGCATCACTAGTCCAGACGATCAATCCATCCATATCACAACTCATGATTTAAACGTGAAACGGGAGGATCACTCAGGAGTCAGGAGTGACTAGTGACGTGACAGAGCGAGTGAGCAAAGTCTTCATCTCCCATGGCTAATTGCTGTGTACACAAATACTGATTCAGACGTCAACCGAACCATTTTTTTCTTAATTATTCTTACTTTTATGTCTAATTTAAATTAAGGGTCCGTTTGATTTACAATTGGATTTGGAATTAAAAAAAAAAGAAAAAGAAAAACTTTGGAATGGAAAGGATATACTCCCATAATAATCTGTTTGGTTCAAAGAGATTAAAATGAAAAAGGGATTTCGTTGCCAAGGGAGGGGGAGGGATTTCATTCCCAAAAGGAAAATGGAATGGAATAGTTGAAATCGAAATGGCCATCAAGCCCTAATTAAAGTACATCTCGAAGTTAATTGTCATAAGGAGACGGAGGGACCATGATCAATTGATAATTGATCATTGATGAATGGAGAGTCCGGGCAACACAATATCAATATGACGTCATTACCTTCTCAACATTTACTGCCTACCAACCTTACCATCATATATAAATGTACATGTGCATGTGCCCCGACTTGTACCCTTCATCCCGCTTTCTCACATCACTTTGCACTGCACATTTGCACCCTTGGTCCCTTCAGTGGGCCCTATTTCACGTGCACCCTGGCCTCTAATGGGTCAAAGTCATGTCATATCACTAATACAATTTAAATAAAATAAAGGGAAAATTCTTAATTAGTATCTTGTATTTTGGGTCTAATGCTATTTTGGTCCTCGAATTTTAAAATGTGAATGATAATTTAGTATTCAAATTTTTAAAAGGCGATAATTCGGTATTTGTTGTTAATTAGCTATTAATCAGCTGTTAAGTGGCATCTGTAAAAGACACAAATGTCTTTCAAGTGTTATTTAATTTTCTTTATCAATCATCTAAACATTGACAAAAAAAATTAACAATCTCAAATCTGTCTTTTCTATTAAAGAAAGTTGAGGTCACGTTTGAGTGGACATTCCGATGATGCCAACTTTTTTGAATAGAAGAGGCAAGGATTTGAGACTGTTAATTTTTCGTCAATGTTTGGATAATTGATAAAAAAAATTAGATGGTACTCAAGGGGCACTTGTGTCTTTTTCAAATACTACTTAACAACTAATTAACAGCAAGTACAGAATTGTCATATTTTAAAAATTTAGATACTGAATTATCACATTTTATAAAGTTCGGGACCAAAGTGCAAGATAATAATCGAAAATTTTCCCTAAAATAAAATAGAGTGTGAATGCAGAGAGGGAGGGTACATAGTACATAACGTACGTGAATATCCTTCCACCACCAGATCCATGTTCCATCCAGCTAGCCAATCTTGTCCAAATGCTGGATTAGAGTTTGAATCGGAGAAGGGAAGTTGGACCATATCCATAATTAACGTGCGCATTTGGATTGGACTATTGGCTATTGGCTGTTGGAGTGGCATGAAGCCATGAACCATGCACGGGCTGGGCGCTGGCCTGGGCGGGCTTCTGACTTGTTTGTTTGACTGACGTGCGCATTGGAGTGCTTATTCAATGTGCTCACACTTAACAATCATTTAGTGTGCTTATCTATGCACTCTGTATTACTATTTGGTGCTGCAACCTGCAACCGTCAACCAGCAACCATCAACCATATTGCTGTGCTTGACTTCACCTTACAAAAATAATTGAATCTATGCTCCTTCACAAATCTCTACAACTGGACTGAACAATCTTGGTCATTTTACCATCAACGTACTGGATCAGTATTCACACAATGCACAACGCTGTAAACGCGTAATTAAAACGAGGAATTAATGTTAGCAAATAATAACGAGTTTATGGATTTATGCAACTCTTGCATTCTTGGCCAAAACAGACAATGATGGGACAGCCATGACAAAACACAACACGGCAAGATAAAGTTGATAGGTTGCAATCGGGTTCAGGATTTGTTAAAAAGGGACCACCCGGCCAGGCACCTTGTGTTAATTCTTCAGAGAGATTACCCAATTTGGCACACCATAGGAAAGATATCAAATATTAATTTTAAATCCATGTGGGAGTAGAGAGAAATAGAGAATTGAATTGATGATAACCTGAAATTAATAATATATATATATATATATATATATATATATATATATATATATATATATATATATACAAAGATCATTTCATTTGGATCAATAACAATCAACAAATAATTGTAGTAGTCAATATAAAGAAATAACTAGTGGTAGGGAACATCTTCAACAATCAAGATAGCACATTGAATGCCTGGGCCTCTCGAGCAACATTGATGAAGACATCCTCCAAGGTGGTATCAGCTAGACCCCATGCATGTATTGTGAACTTGTTCTTTGCATTCTCAACTGCTTGGAAAACATCTGCAATCTTCACTTCTTGCTTAGGAATTTCAAACTTTTGGGTTCCAGATATGTGGTATATCTTGTTTGCACTTGGAGAGAGATGGCGTACCAAGTTTTCTACTTCCTCCTCTTGATTTGAAGATGTTGTCATTGTAAATACATATGACCCCCCATATCTAGCCTTAAGCTGTCAATTGACCAGGAATAAAAAGAGCAGTCAACTAATTGACATATATTAGGGATTAAAAGAACTATTTGATAGCTTATGAAATTCTATATCAAACAAAATCATTTATTGCAGCTCACAATACCATGGATCCTCCAAAGAGGGCCCATGCAGTGATGACCTAGATATACCTCTGATTTGCATAATCACCCACTAGAGTTTAGTCTGCTATCCACAGTAAGACAAAACACAACCCATCTCACTTAACAACAACCAACTTTCTTTAAGGCAAATGGAAATAAAATAAACAATGTCAATGTTGCTTTAGAGAGTACCTCTTATTGAGATACATGTTCTCAGTTAGCTGGTTATGCGGTACTAACCATGATTTGCGTTTATTTAGTTTTGGTCTGCCATAGGGACCATTGTCAAGAAGAAAGTGAATTTTAGACTCAAGAAAGCACAATGTAGGCATGCAATATGTAAATGCATGTTAAACTAACTAGGACAAACACCTAGGAAGGCATTTGATCCCTTGCCCTTTCCATCTCCCCCTACAGAAGAGGTAATAATACATTGTGAATACTTGAAAATAATAATGATATTGTATCTTTTTTATTTTTTTTCATTTTAGTGCTACATCAAGGATGTCAAGCATGGAGAACCCATATATAGAGGGGCTCAGGGTGTGTACATGAAGTCTACATGCAGGAAACTAAAGTATGAATTTGTTTCATGGTTACCTGAGAATCTTGAAATTCAAGAACACTACCATATCACAGAAAATAATCACTATTTAATGTGAATAAATATATTAAAAGTAAAATTACCTCTTTTGGATTTCCTATGCACTGTAGGCTGCCATCTACAAAAATACCCAGTCGGTCACACAGATGCTCTGCCTCTTCCATGGAATGGGCTGAAACAACCAGTTTGTTAGTGACATTAGTTAAGATTTTTTATTTGTTCCTTCCCTTTTTTTGTGTCTGTAAGAGGGGGGTGGTGGGTTCTAATGCTATCATTATCTTTTGTTTTTTTTTTTTGATGAAATGCTATCATTATCTAACAATATCAAGAGCAAAGCTTAACTTGTGCAACAACTGCAGCCAAGAGACAAACAGAAGATTGGCATCTAAGAGCTTCCAATTTTGTTAGATGATGCAAATACATAATTTAGAAAAGTAAATGTGCGTATATTACTGGTGAGTATGATGGCTCTGTCTTGCTTTGCACGCTTGACAACATTCCACAAATTGTTTCTTGAAGCTGGATCTAATCCTGTACTAGGTTCGTCCATATAAACAACCTTGCAAAATTACCAAGAGATAAACCATAAGTAGCATAATGAAGAAATCTGTATATGCAAATACGGGAACTGTTTTACAAGCCAGATGCTATAGATATTACGTACTTTAGGATCTCCAATCAGAGAAATGGCAACACTAAGCCTCCTCTTCATACCCCCACTGTATTTCCCTGCTTGTTTGTCACAAACGCCCCCATGAAATAAGTTTACACTCTTAATAGATTCTTCCACTGCCTGAAGAAACATACCAGAGAGTGTGTGTAAGAGAGAGAGAGAGAGAGAGAGAGAGGATGAGAAGTACAAGAAGACCAGAATCAAAGACTTGTTCTTTTGATAAATAAGCATCAGATTTTGTTCCAATGAAGACTGTTACTTGTGTGTGTGGGGGGGGGGGATACTTGCCTCAGTATGATTTAGTCATTATTCTATCAGAAGTAACTGTATACAAAACGTTAGAGGACAATCAGCACACTCGAAGGTGGGTTGGGACATTCATTGGATTCTTGCAAAATGATTYGAGGAATAGAAATCCAAAATGATATCATCTATAGTTGATATACCTTCCACCACCTTCTCCTTTTCTGCCTTCGATTTTAATCAAAACTTTATTGAAACAAAACATGAAGGATAGTTATATCTTTTCATGATTACTGCACCTAACAACTCTTCCTTGATTTGATCAGGTCAAGATAGTTTCAGTTTCAAATTTGTAAACTTGTTGTCAAGATGGAAATGTGCAGAATTGGCAATTTTATATATTTTAAATAGCAAGAAATTTACCAGATGTACCTGTCAGTAGTTCAAAGTGCAAGTCATGATTAATGAAACAATATATAGGTGAGATAATCATAGACTTACTTGAGTTAAGGCAGCACCTTTTAGGTTTTTCAATCTTCCATAAAATAGTAAGTGCTCCTTTCCTGTTAGTGTTTCCCAGAGTAAGCTGCAGCATAGTTCCAAAAAAGGAAAAATTAGGAAAAGAAGATGACTTCCATAATCAGTTTGTCCTATAAAAATTTAATTTTCCTCAACACAAAATAAAGAATGTTGTTTCATTACTCATGCTGTGGGCATACACCCATACTGGTGTATATTTTGTCCATTTCAGTGCGTATGTCCAAGCCTTGAACAAATGCTGTGCCAGAAGTTGGTGTAATAAGCCCAATCATCTGCCAAAACATGCACAAAATTCTCAAATGTTCTGGAAAGAACCATTATTGGCAAAATAAAGATTAGGAAGTAAAGAATAGTCTCCATAAAGGAAGAACTAGCTATAATGAGTAAATGTTGGTTAGTAATTATAGAAAATCCAAACTATAAAACAACAGAATCCTTAATAAAAGAAAAGAACTCATAGGTAAACAACAAATGTCTTCAGTAATATCCATTGATCCCACACCTATTGAACTAGAAAAAACAGTTTCAATATTTCAGAAATGATTTGAAGAGCCGAAGGAGTACTATCTATTTACCATATTGATGAAAGAAGTTTTGCCAGCACCATTAGGACCAAGCATTCCAAAGCATTCCCCTCGAGGCAAAGCAAGAGACAATCCTCTAACTGCAAATTTCTCAGGGTTCCCATCCCTCCCTTGATATACCTTCTTGATGTTGTTGCAGATGATGGCATGACTTGTATGTGGTTCAAGTAGTAACTGTTCAACCCTTTCTCTCTGAAACAGGAGTAAATAAGATGAAAGTGATATCCACAGACAGAAAGAAAGAGATGCATTACAAGAACCACTTTGAAACATGTGAACCTGAACTTATACAATTGCAAAAAGCAAATACAAAAATGACCAAGGTAAATCATCATCATCATCATCATCCAAGCCTTATCCCAACCATATGGGGTTGGAAAAAATGATCAAGGTAAATAAATAAAATAAATCATAAGATTTATTACAAGTAGTATGGTACTGAGGAGCACATGCAAGTGTCAGACTTCAGTAGGAAATCTGTACACTGACAAATCCCCTCCAACAAATAAACTGAGTGAATATTTGTATCCACCAACTCAGTTACACCCTTTATATAGACAATACAATGTTGCCAATGGTTCAAGGAAAATGTTTAGAAAGAGAAGTAGCAGTCACATTATCATGGTGATAGAAGGTTAGGATTTTTTTTTTTTTGGGTAGAAGATTAGGAAAATCCAGCCAAGTCATAATTTCACCAAGGAGATCTCTAGAAGAAAATTGAACTTAGGTGGTTGTATAATCTCCAGGTCCACAGGCACTAGCTGTGATTTTAGTAGACTGTACTTATGGAGTATCATATATCCTTATATCCATTTCCTCCCTAAAAAGCTTTCAATAAATCGATGACAGCATTAGACAAGGTTACCTCCTGGGAGACATCAGCTTTCTCCATTTGAACAAAAACCTTAGATCCCTGTCTGTGCAAACTAAGCCTTCGAAGAGATGGCAATCGCTTCTTCCAGAAGTTTTGCATGAAAAATAGAGGGTTCTTTCTAATACCACTTCCTAATGCTAAAACTTGATCCAAATAGTATGCAACAGGAAGCACTACCAACCATTCTACAAACATGATAATTAAAACTTCTCTCATTCCGTTGTTGCTGTCACTCAAATCTTTCCACTGCATCCCATCCGTCCCCATATAACTTCCCAAAAAGGAATACTGTGCAAACTCATATAGCCCGCGAAATAGAGAAAACCCTGGATAGAGTTCCATAGCTATAACCCAGCCTCCTACAAAATAACAATGATGAACCATCATAATTAGTAGTGAAGAAAAAGTTCAGATATGCAAATAATTGACCAGAGAAAGTTGCAGTTCTGCTCACTCGGGAAGGATTCATCTTCAACAAAGAACTGGAAAAGGAATCCACCTAAAAGCCCTGTTCCGAATACGCATATGTACCCTATTACTGTCATCATCAAATTTAAATCGTGTCAAATGCCCCTGGAGATCAAAATGTAGGGCTTAAATTTTTATTACGGATACAATGATTCAAGCATTGCCAAACCTGCAGCAGTCTTAACTTTTGAAAAAAATGTTGCCACTAGAAAGGCCAGTGATATTTGTAAATTTATATAGATGAAGTAGAAGACAAATTGAATGCTGTAGTCATTCAGTGTGAAGAACTTTAACCCTGCAAAATAGGAAATCTATTGAACAAAGGACACAGAAAATCACTTGACCGAAATAAATGACGAAAAAGCAATTACCCTGATGGTGCATTACCTATAAGTGAGCCAAATATCACAAAACATAACATATAAGCCAACGATATGGAAAGAAAATAAGCATAGGAAATTGTCCAATAAGGACCATCTCCAAGACCATGCATTTTCATCATGATTCTAAGGTTCCGTTCCTTCTCGTAAACAAGAGATGTCAATATAACCTACATCAGAAGGCATGCTATGAGAAGAGCACAGATTAAGATAAAAATAAGGAAATAGGAGATTTGGAAATAAAATGAACAATTGTTTATCATCAGACATCATATATGATATTATGATTCTTAAACTTGACTGCCACAACATAAATGAGTACAGCTCAAAATGAGACACCAAATGGAAATTTTACACCATGTTTGAATCCTCAGAATATAGAGGATAATGTGAAAATTATAAAATGAACTTTACTAAAAACAATGTTTAAAAGTATATGGGTTCTAGACTACATCAAGTTGTCCAGACAGTGTTTGCAATTGGACAGTCCAGTTAGACAGTTTGTCAAGTTTTAACTTGATTTTATTCAATATATGGATTCTGGACTGATAGGTAGAAGGTGTCTGCTTTTATTCTTTTGGAACATGGCTGCTCAACAGACAGTAGACTTTGGTGGTCCATTTGTAAAAAATTGTTGCAAATCAAAGGTAAACCTAAAATTAGACTTCCTGGCGTGGTCTACAAAAGAAAACAAAAATAAAGATGTTGGAGGAAGTACCACCAAACATCATAATCATCATAATTATCCCACCTGTGGGGTTATGTTGAATCATGTTTGACCATTCTTCTCTGTGCCTATACTTAAAGGAACCAAAACACTTCATATCAAGTAAAGAACCTTAAAATTAGCTCCAAATAGGAGCTTGTCTCTAGTTCTTCATAATGAATAATTTCCTAGACATAAAATTTCATGTTCGTCATTACCATCATGTGCCTTAACCTACATAAAGGTGGTCAATAACACAAAAATCATGTTCTCCAGGAGAAAATATCTAAGTTTTAAAACATTACAATGACAACCCTCCATTATGGATCTCCACAATTTGAACTTCTTTACCCAAATCAAACTCCAACTGTAGCTATTTGTCCATGACTGGAACCATTAACATACCTTTTGTCATGGGTTTCACATATATGGTTAATAACATCAAACTAATTATTGAAAGCTCTGTATCTGTTCTTTACAATGGCGACACACCCAAGATCTGCTAGAAAAGAAAAGCACATGCCCCAAGATCTATATGTTATAAATGTAGTTACATCCTCCAAGATATACTTATCCATAAAATGGTGAATCTACAGCATATTTACCTTTAACTTTAATAAAACAAAATAACTTCATTCTCTGAATCTTAAGGACATTCAATCCTAAATTTTCTGTTTTCTCAATTCTTAGGTATATTCTTATACCTCTGTTTTAATTTTCTCTGCTCTATCATTTATTTTTTTTTTAGAATTTTAACTACTACTATGTTAATAAACCTCTTCCTGCCAAAAAACATAGGTGATATACAATAAGGGCACCTTCATCATAAATAGCAAAAGGGTGGTCCTCATAAGCTGCCATGTGCCTAAATGAGATGATCAGGAACCACCATTAGATGGGACCGAAATTAAAGCATACTTGCACCAAACCAAAAGTCAGCATAATCAAATGATATCAATTATACATTTTTTAATTAAAAAATCAGATTCTATCAAAATGGTGGATAAGCTACCACTGGAACACCAAAAATAATGTGCAAATCAGATGATTAAGAGTGATCTTATGCTGAGGGCACCCCCACAATAGCAATGGTTTGAAGAAATTCTCTGAGAAACTCATCTCAGCTTTGGAGCTTGCTTAGGTGTTGTTAAAAGTGAAAGGATATAAAGATCATTGATGGTGTTAAAAGTGGAGAATTCCTGGCTCCACCCCTGGTTGGTGAGAGCCCTAATTACTGCAGAAGAAAGGTGGAACTATGGTGCATCTTAGATGTCAATTGTCAAACAAGTAAGAAGAAGAAAAGAAATAAATGAAAACTGGTTCTCAAAGATCAATTCATGTGTTCCAAGGAACACTTTGTCCACCAAGAATGTACCATGCAACGGTAAGGTCAATGGTGAGTTATATGTTATTCCAGTATCTTCATACCAAGCTCATATTACATATACATGTCAAAAAACACATTTCAAAATCAGTTTAAAATTCTCTAATCTGAAAGCAATCAGGAAGATGCTAGTTATCATTCATCATGCTCATTTTGTTTTCTATTGCCTACAATCATACTTGTGGAAGAACATATCCTGACAAATAGATAAGGTCCACTTAGATAACCGATAGAAGCATTTTAATAGTGCATAGGAAAGCAAGAATGTAAAATATGTTCAAATATACATACCCAATTTTAATAACATATATAAGCATCAACTACTCTCAATTTATAATGTAGATGATCATCGTGTCCAATACTCACAGGGAAAAGTTGCAAAATGACCCATGTAAAGAAAAGCCCACCAAGAATAGAAGAGAAATCCAGACTTAGCTTTGTTCCAAGTTTGGGCATTTCCTTAACAAATTCAAGTAACATTTTTGTGCTAGCACCTTGCAAGAACTGAAGGTAGGCATTGGAGGCCTGTAAATGTACATATGTTAGATATTGTTATTTTCTTCATCGTAAATACAAACAAAAGACCAGATCATTGAGAACAAAAGAAAAATGTGCTTGAGTGGAAGGGGTTAAGTTAACTATTACATGAAAACAAATCCTATACTTTAACCACAACCATATTTAAAAAAAGAATCATGTTGTATCAGGTGGCACATAAAACCAAGAACAAGCTAACATATCTTCATGAATAACTACCAATTAATCTAAAATAAATTACTCTTTCAAGCAACATGCATTGTCATAATTCCTTTCTTATCCTGAAAATTTAATTTGCAGTCCTCCAAGAGAAAAGGAAAATAAAGAAAGAATAAAAATGAAAGATGTTAAGCATTAAGTCTATAGAAAACAATTTTCTTTGCACATCAACCACAAATGAGGAGTCAAAGGTTATACATTACCACTTCTGGGACCAACATACAGTAGTTTAGCTGATGGAGCAGAGAAGAATAAATTAAAGTAGATACAAAATGAAAAAGCATGACTAGTCCATTTTATCTTTTGCTGAATATTATTGCAGCAAGGTGTCCTCATTTATTCAATGGAGAGGATAGATGATTCATCCCCATCAAGGAAGACAACCTAATTTAAATTAGAAGTCATAATTCAAATTAAAATTACTCCCTCACAAACCACCAACATTTCAGGTCCTAAGAAAACCATGTGATACAAAAAGTTGGTGTAAAAGGGGGAAGTGTTAACTACATAAACAGTGAGATTACAAAGTTCAGAATATATACCACACTCACTGAACGTGGAACCCGCACCAGCCCAAGAGGACTATTTCCTGTGTTATTCTTGTAGGTGGAGTTGTACCATATGCTCACATTGAAATTATTTTCATTTGAGTTTAAAAAATCATAAGCTGCAAGGAAACTTTGAGTTATATCTTGACCTCCTACACTAGAAAACAATGAAGAAATAGAAAGGACAAGAAGATCAAGCAGACCAACCTGCAACAATCTCATTAATCTTCCTCTCAGAATTCCCCTGTCGGTAACCTTTAAATAGCTCATCATTTACCTCTGAAGAACTATTGCGCCATAAATGTAATCCTTGAACACATCTTACCTCTGAAAGAAACAGTTCAGCACAGACAATAATGAAGATACTACCAAAAAGAGGGGGAGAGAGAGAGAGAGAGCACTGGAAAGAAAATGGCCTGTTAATTACATCAAGGCATACAAGACATATACAGGGTTTGAGCACATTGGCATTTCGGGTCCCACCAGGGATATCTCCTGTGCAAATAATTAGCCAAGTTGTATTACCTACACCATCCATCAATTGGCCTTCTTATTTGACCATTTGTTAACATTTGATCACTAAAATATATCATCATGGTTCATGTAGAATTTGGGATCAGAAAAGTTGAAAGCAACTAATGGTATGGCCCTTTGATATAAGTGTACTGTTCTTACTATCCTGTCCCTTGACATGCATGTCTACTGTAACAAATTAGCTTGAATTTCCTTTGAGAGACACCAAGGTTGTGTCCTAAAATGGGTTTCTGTAAATTCCTCATCATGGAGGTGCAGTAAATTGGATAAAGCAACAAACTAATGGAATTTTCATGGGTGCGAGGTCCAAAAATATATATTACCTTGTTGCATTGTCACAGATGCTATCTCAATGGGAACAGAAAACGAAAAGTTTGGTGCACACTGAGGTTGAATAATATAGACTGGAACATTTGAGGAAAAAGCTGGTTCAAGATAATTAGATTCTTGTGGCTTTGAGTATGAGCCCTGGAAGATTTCCATGTCATATTAAACATTAGAGTTAGTAGATGTCTGAAGATTAACTTATGCAGTAAGCATAACAAAGACCAATTATGTACATTCACGATGGAAGAGCAACAAGGTGGGAGCCAAAAGAAAAGAAACTTACCAGGAGAACATTGGCCAAACTAGAAAATATTTCAGAGGAATTTGGAGAGAAAGCTCCAGTAAATAAATTCCCTGCCAAGCCTGTGAGGATTGAACAGATTGGGATAAAACACAGAAAAAAAATCTAAGATGATCTTGTCAATAGAAAAGAAAATAAAAACAAGGTAGACATGGGGCAAGAAACTTACTTTCTCGAAGGGTTTGATTACCCCCAGTGAGAAGTATAGTTACAGGGCAGGAGTCTGTCCCTTTGCAAGACTCATCTGGCAAGTCCGAAAAAGGAATAAAATCAGTTCCAACTGCACGATATTCGGCAGCTGGTATTTGCAGAAATGGCGGCCAATCCACAGGGTGGGGAATGGGACAAGTGCCCACTTGATCCAAAGTCGAGTACTCAATTCCACACACTGTCTCATTTTTGCCATCATTATTAATGTCAACAGAGGAGCAGCCACACTTGTTCTTGGGCTTATCAAGTTCACTATCGACCAAGCTTTGGATGAGAACAAGTAGCAAACAGAGGAAAAATGGGAATGCTATGAGCCTGATATTTGTCCTCAGATTTCTTTTCTGCAAAACAAGAAAATTATAGTATCATCAACGCATCAATGAAAATAGTGTCAAATACACCATGTTGATCCAGTATCTGAGCACTCCCCATGACTGTTTCTGATTAGAAATTTTGAAATTTAAAAACAAAGAAAGGTACCCAAAATCGAAAACCAGGATTACCCAGGATGCAATTGACTATCCGTGACCATGCAAGTGAAAATTATTGTCAGGGAAAGGATAAGCTGAAAGTAAGTGACTTGGTCAGGGACATCTCCAGCAAACTAACACACACATTATTTTTAAATTTTCTCCTTCTTGATATCCAAGTACCCCTTTTTATCTACGTAATTCTTATCTGAGCAGAGAACTAACCCTTTGAGATCCTCATAAAATTAATATAAGAGGAAACGACTGGTTTACAGAAGAAAAGAAACTATGCAATAATATTTCCTACCAGAAAAAGAATCAAATCAGTGACTACACAGTCAATTAAATTTAAGCACATTGGCCTAATTTAAAAGTAAAGTGAAATGGAATCCCGAAAACAGAAGAACAGGAAACCAGCAAGAATCCCGAGAGAACCAAATAAAAAGAAAAAAAAAAACAAATAAAAAAATCGAGTCCTACAATTCAGAAGAAAGCGAAAACTCACAATACCAAATTTCAACCATTCCGTAAGTATGAAACAAGTAGTAGCGTCAAAATAAAAGGAGGGAGCCAAAGAGATTGAAAATGAAAAGAGACCTGGAAAGTAAGGTTCTTCCTAAGCAAAGCGTTGGCCTGAGTCATGAAACTCGCAGGTCCAAGCGATGAATCCGCCATTGATGCCTTCCCTCAATCCCTCTCTCTTTCCCTCCCAACTCCAGATACCAGAATACACAAGAAGAAGAAGAAGAAACAGAGGAATTTAGCTGTTAAATCCTCAGGACAAGGAACGGTAGGCCATCTGGTTATTGGTATTTGTTCAATCTGTGTGTGTATGTGTGAGTGATCAACTGGCCTTTTGTGTAATAAGCTTCGGCATAGGAAATAAACCCGACGCTTTATAATTCATTGTTATTATTGTTATATATATATATATATATATATAAAATATACAAGCAGCTCTCACACCCACCTACGTGGTTGACGAGGGACCCATCTTTCCGGCAATCTTCGAATTCCGTCTAAGATCGGAAATGACAAAATTGTCCCTAACTTCGCCTCCCTTTTTCAAACTTCAATAGCTTTTCCCTGACTACAAAACGAATGAGTGAAACGTTAAAAGAAGGCTACTTTTGTCATAACGTCGCTCAATGAGTACAATTTCCAGGTAGCTGCGGTGTGAAAAGACGGAAGACATTTATAACAGTGTAAACATACATAACAGAGCAAGTAGTTATAACTTGATCGAGAAGAAACCAATTGGCATGACGTGATTTCCTCATTTCCAGAACTGCCCTTGACCCAATGACCGATATATCCTTTTTATTTATTTATTTTTTTTTTTTTTTTGACGCGTCCATCATATTCGTACCGATTTTGGTCAAAAACTGCTGATTGCCCGGAAATGTTCTATTTTCCACTATCATACCGAAAAAACTTACAACAAATGGGTTTCTAATAAGAATGACAATCGGCCGTTAAATCCTCCCCAAATCTCCCAACCTAACCTGTATCCTTTATAAAACCTAACAAATGGGTTTCAGAATCCAAGCGTTCCTTGCATTTTGAGGGTGACGGGTCGAATTGGCCGGTTGGGTCTTATATCTAATTTTCCATTATTTGTTATTATCCATAAGTAATCAACAATCAAAATAACATAAAATACAAAAAAAATAAAATTATTTGATTGAAAATGTATGAATACAGAAATTATCAATAATCATTCACGTATGCCTCAAAAACATTATTGAATTCAACACTATATATATACGTCCATATGCCTTACAATAACGAAGTATATAGTGGGAGAGGTTTGGGTTTATTCTACTATTATACATGCATGTGTGTGTAGTGGTCCATCATTGTATACCTAATGGTGTGTACATGCATGTGTGTAGTGGTCCAAGTGCATTTTCTCTTAAATTCTATAGGATATAAATTAAAAGCATATGCCAATAAATAAATCCAACAAGAATGTTCTTCTTAGTACATATGAAACTCAAGTCACTCCACTAACAGACAAAACAAAATGGAAACAAATGACAAAAAGCAATTAATTAGAATCACACGAAACTAAAGAAAAATATACCAACAGGTTACTTCCCATGAATCGTGAATATTCAAACCCCTCATTTGGCCACATCATCAGGCTCTTACCCTCGTGCCATGTCACCCTACCTCCTACTTTATCATCGTAACAAAGGCGGAAAGTTTCCAAACATTAAACATATAGAATAATCAAAACGAATAAAGTATTAATTTATTTTGATATTTTTAGTAATTAATTATTCAATAAATACATAAACTTCTGAAAAATTAATTTATTCATATCATTAATTAGTGAACATTCAATAATTAATGACATTCATTAGAAATTTCAATATTTAAATATTCATTTATTATTATATGAAATTAATTATATATTATTATTTTTGAAATTGAAAATTATTTATTCTAAAATTTTCAAAAAGTTTCAATAATTTCAAAAAATGTTGATTTTAAAATTTAATTTTGGTAATAAAAATGATTTATTGACATTTTCATTTATACTGGTTTTTTGGTAATTATTAAATATTAAATTGGAAAAATATTGAAGAATGTTAGCTGATGGTGCGCAATCCGACCGGTCCTAACTGTCAACGATCTTGCCTCGGGTTGGAGCACAAGGTGTCTGAAACGGGAAAGAAGGCGAGTAATCTCCGGGGAAGAATCCGGTGAGAATGCTCTGAAGCTCAAGTTAGTATTTCTTCAAAGGCAAGATAAAACCAGATGGCGCAAAGTTCACATACCTCTCCTTGGGGGGGAAGGGGGCCTTTTATAACCACTTCGCGCACTCACTCCTAAGCTTCTGTCAGGTCGGGTATGATTACCCCTGCGCTTCTGCCAGTTCGGGTGTCATCACCTCTGCTGGAGCAGAACCGCCACTGCTCTCTTTGTCGGAGCCGTCTCTGTAACTGGAGATGGCGGTGGCAGGTGGCCGTTGAAGTGCGGCTGTCAAGCATCAGATCCCAAGTCAGTCAGGTGCGTCGCCCCTGGATACGGACTCCTTCGGTGTCAGGTACGGTGCGGTTGTTCAATTCGGTGTCCTGGAGGCAAAGTGCTGGAGTGGTGTGCGAGGTGAAGTCTTGAGTTCGGATAGAGGTGTGGCCCGAACTGCCATGGGGCAGGCCAGTTCGGGTTGTTKCCCTTTGTGTTCGTAAGGCTCGGGGTCCAAGGGAGAGCTCGGGCTCCTTACGGGGAGTTCGGCCTCCTTGTAGGGAGTTCGGACCGCTGGTTCCTCCTTTCGGAGCTCGCGCCTTGGGCGGGCTGTTGTGCCAAGCTGTTGTCTTTGCCACGTGTTGAGTGGTTACGAGGTCGGGCCAAATCTTCCTTCATCATTAGCTATATTTATAATTTCCATAACTCTTCAAAAAAATGTCATATTTTTTTTTGAAATTTATAAAAATGGCAAATTTTAATAATTTCCATAATCAATCATTGGAAATTTGCATTGGTTTTTAGTAATTATTGAATTGGAAAATTATTGGGGAATTTTGATATTGATAATTTACATTTGGTAATTATTAGTAATTTCCATGATTATTGGCAATTTACATTTATTTTTGGTATTTATTGAGAAATTTTAATTTAGTGACTTTCATAAAATATTGTTCATGTTTTTGGTAATTTAATTTACTAAGATCTATTTTAAAAATTCTAGTTTATTGATTTTTTATATTTTCAGTAATTAAATGTTCATAAATTCAGATTTTTTTTGAAAAATAATGTATTCATATCAATAAATTTTAAAAATCGTATTCATATAAATTCAGAAGTTTATTCATAAATTTTTGAAAAGTAATTTATTCATATTAATATTTGTACTGAAAAGTAATTTTTGAGTGTGTGAGGTCTATTAAGCAGTGTCATACGTGTTATGTCATTCGAACGTGTGACTCATACGACCTGAAAACAAAACCGTTCTGGCCACTGGTTTTTGGGTTGACAGTTCGACCGTCCGGTTTGAACAGATGACTCGTTTGACAACAAAAATAAAAAAAACTACCAAAAGTCATTGAACGGGTCAACGGGTCGACAATTTAACCACCTGGGTCAATGGATCGTTGACTGATTCAACGGTTTTTTGCCAGGGACCGGGATTGGGATAAAATGGAATCG